AGAATATACTGATCCATCATTGTTCAAGTCCATACAGTCTGAACACAGACACTAGAAGCATGACAAGAACATAGACACTAGAAGCATGACAAGAACACAGACACCAGAAGGATGACAAGAACACAGACACCAGAAGCATGACAAGAACATAGACACCAGAAGCATGACAAGAACACAGACACCAGAAGCATGACAAGAACATAGACACCAGAAGCATGACAAGAACACAGACACCAGAAGCATGACTAGAACATAGACAACAGAAGCATGACAAGAACACAGACACCAGAAGCATGACAAGAACACAGACACTAGAAGCATGACAAGTACATAGACACTAGAAGCATGACAAGAACACAGACACCAGAAGCATGACAAGAACACAGACACCAGAAGCATGACAAGAACACAGACGTTCCTGAACAACCGTGTGCTGTTCTCACTATACCACACCTAAGAGGCACTGAGACTGACCAAGTCAAAGCATTCTTCAACATCGTTGACAGATGTGCCTTGACGTCCTGGTGTATCGAGTTCATCCCACAGACGCTCTATCGGCAAGTCTATGACGGGTCAGTTATGAAGTCAGCAGTGGCATGAGCTATTTGTGCTGTGATCCACCACCATTCAGGATAGGATATTGCGTTAAACACAATCCCATTTTGGACTGTTGACTGCCGAACGCAATTCAGTGCAATATGTACATTTCAATCAATCTTTATTCCGGTACTCAACTGGCCTTAGGCCTATAGTACACTTTATACATTTGTTAATACACATTCAGGAACAATATGCTTTCTATGTGCAAATGCGTAGGAAATATACATGGACAGGTTTTCAGTTTCTTTAGTATTTGAACTGTTTAGCAGTAGGGAAAACTGTAGGAATGGACATAACATTTTTCATTTATATATTTGCTTCGAAGATTACTGTAGTTAGGGCATACACGAAGAAAATGAAACTCGTCTTCAATTGCATTTGAATTACATAATTAAAAGCTCAATTAAAAATTCATGAGATGAGCATCGGAATCGTGCTAAACTTACTCTATACCTTTCTACATTTAAACATGATAGATAGAATTCGGTATTTTTAAACATTAGGTAAGTGTCACATTTGCTTGAGATATTATATCGCATAACGAGAAGACATTTTGGTTCGCCGCCACCATTTGTTCATGTTGTCGCCAATACAAACGTAGCAATACAGGGACAAATCCTGGCCTTCTGGGTCTAATTTCCAAAGTCCGTAGACGATCCCGGATTGTTTGGTCCAATAATTTCCTAATACCAGGTTCATGTCCGGTTGTCTCAGTGACGTCTTACATGAAAGACCCAGGTGTAGCAATCTTATGCAGGGTCGGTAACTCTTGGTCTACCATTTCTCGGAAAATCTTGGATTTAATTCAAACAGGTATAGGGCACGTAAGCAGGTCACGGCACTTCGCGAGACTTTTGTTCTTCTGCTGACAATCAACGTTTCATACCTTTTCGAATGGCCTCATGGTCGTCAGTAAGGAACCGATAACCTTTGCAGGAATAACAAATTTCCGATCTAACCATCCCCAGATTAGCCAACTATTATGACAGTCAGCTGATGTGACAGACAAGCATGGTTGTACACTTGATCTGGTCTAGTACAGTCCTGTTTGGCCCTCGGGCAATGTGGAACCAGAACTGGTTCTTGAAAATACGTTTGTCACTGGAAATCTGGTACCGGAAGTAAGCTGGGCTCCGCCTCGCATATCGCAATTTGGCGCGCAAAGGGAGCCGGGAACCATCTTAGTACCGGAAGTAGCGCCTCGCGAGACTTACAGGCCCTATACCGATCCCATAAACGTGGAATGGTACACTGCTTACATCATAATACACTGGTGTGAGTTGAATATCACGTGCACCTGCAGACTGACTCTCTCCAGCCTAATGACGTCTATGGTGACCCTGAGATTGGCACCATTCAGTCTCGGTATTTTCCCTACTTCCAATATGTCGACAAACATGTGACAAAATGTTGATTTGCGCGTGACCTTTTACATGTTTTATAGTCATTGTCATTGCACATGATTGTCCGAGTGTGCCTCGTTTCGGATTGCTCTAAGTCCCTACTTCAGTATCGATTGACGTCGCTCCACGTTCTGAAGTCGTCTCGTAGAACAAGGTCCAGATGGTGTCACATTGTCAGCAGGCTGATGGTCCTTGAGTGACGTGCTTTCCGCGTCACGTGATAAGTGTGCACTGCAGTCAAACAGGACAGGTCACCTCTGGGTCAGGTCGACCAACCTGTTTTGTTTGTTTTCTTGTCTGCAATATTCCAGCTACATGGCGGCGGTCTGTAAATGATCGAGTCTCGACAAGACAATCCAGTAACTGACATCATGAGCATCGATATACGCAAGTTTGATATGATGACATGTGTCAACCAAGTCAGCGATCATGATCACCAGATCCCGTTAGTCGCCTCTAACGACAAGCATGGGTTGCTGAAGACCAATTGTTATTTATTATTATCACTGGATATGTTTATAGCGCACATATCCACGCAACTAGTACATGCTCAAGGCGCTGGTACTTTTTCCTTCGATCACTGGATGTCAATCTCAACCTCACATCGTATCATCAATCTCAACTCCCTGGGGATCATACAACTCTTGCAGCCACTAGGCGCACCGAGTTATTGTGGCTTTCTCATCCTTACGAGGTACCCATTCACAGTTTGATGGACTGGGACACATTGTCAGAGTATTTTGTTCAAGTTTACTGCACGTTGCTGTACCCGCAACTAGGTGTTTGCACGTATCCATGTGGCCACCATCTGGTCATATACCAACGGATTCGTGGGTTGTTTTAAGAGCACAGGGTTGTGTACTGTATACTGTTCTAACCCGGGTCCTCAAGGGTTCGACCAACCGTTGTCATCCGTTGACATGGAGAGAATGCGATTTACTTAAAGTTCAGGACATGTCCGCACATGTCAAAGACCTACGATATGTAAAGGTTAGCCGATGATTGTCATATAATTTTAGCTTGTAGATATTACAACTTGTCATCGCTCTGTACTGAAATAATGCCGATGACACTTTGATTTAAATTCAATCACTCAATCGCCAACGCATTTATGCATGGGGTCGGGTGGTCAGGTTCGCTAATTTGATGGATGGATATCAATCCCAATAATAATGATAATGATCCCAAGTAAGGTGCAGCCAGTTACATGGGTGACACCTAAGGTGTTCCCCACGAACCTGAGTCTATCAAGGGCCTTGTGGTTAATGCCATCGGGGCGGTTGGGTAGCCTAGTGGTTAAAGTGTTGGCTCGTCACGCCGAAGACCCGGGTTCGAATCCCCACATGGGTACAATGTGTGAAGCCCATTTCTGGTGTCCCCCGCCGTGATGTTGCTGGAATATTGCTAAAAGCGGCGTAAAACCAAACTCAGTCAGTCAGTTAATGCCATCACTAGTCGGTTGGATTTGGTCTTCAGCAATCCGTCCTTGTCATTAGAGGCGACAAGGGGGATCAGGTGGTCCGACTCGCTGACGTGGTTGACACATGTCATCGTATCCCAGTTGCATAGATCGATGCTCATGATGGCAATCACATAAATGCGACTCGATTATTTGCAGATCGACGTCATATAGCTGGAATATTGCACTCCCCCTCTATACATCATCTGTAACCTTAAAAGAAATCATTAAAACCTATAAAGTTAAAAGGGGCGGTGGGGGCAGCCTAGTGGTTAAAGCGTTCGCTAGTCACGCCGAAGACCCATGCTCGATTCCTTACATGGGTACAATGTGTGAAGCTCATTCCTGGTGTCCCCCGCCGTAATATTGCTGGAATACTGCTAAAAGCGGCGTAAAACTAAACTCACTCACTATAATGTAAAAATGTGAGAAAATATTGATTATTATTATCATACCTCAGTAATGTTGTTTAAAGCAGCACTCATGATAACTATAATGGTTCAAAGATACCAAACATGTATTATGTCTGTTCTGTGTCCACGTTCACGTTTCATGCTTCAGGTGCCTGTGTTCTCCTCTTTGTCTGTGTTCCTGTCATGCTGCCAGTGTATGTTTCCGTGTTATCCTCCACGTCTGTGTCTGTGTCCTTGTCAACCTTCAGGAGTCTGTGTTCTTGTCAAACTACAGGTGTCTGTGTTCTCCTCTTTGTCTGTGTTCTTGTCATGCTGCCAGTGTATGTTTCCGTGTTATCCTCCACGTCTGTGTCTGTGTCCTTGTCAACCTTCAGGAGTCTGTGTTCTTGTCAAACTACAGGTGTCTGTGTTCTCCTCTTTGTCTGTGTTCTTGTCATGCTGCCAGTGTATGTTTCCGTGTTATCCTCCACGTCTGTGTCTGTGTCCTTGTCAACCTTCAGGAGTCTGTGTTCTTGTCAAACTACAGGTGTCTGTGTTCTCCTCTTTGTCTGTGTTCTTGTCAGCCTTCAGGTATCAGGGGCTCTTTTTCTTGTCAATATCTGTGTTCCTATCATGCTTCCGGTGTGTTTTATTTCTTGTCTACATCCGTGTCCTTGTCATGATTTAGGTTTCTGTTCTTCTTGTTTGTCCGTGCCCTGGCTGTCCCCCAGGCTTCTGTATTCTACTCCTTGTCTGGGTCGCCACGACACAGTATTCACGTGTGACAATGTACCTACAATCGATAAATCAGCTTGTGGACGCAATGACTCTGTCAAATAAGTACACATTTCATAAGAAATATGTATCATGATCCATATGTATATGTTTAACCCCAAAACATACAGATTGCATTTCAAGGCCACAGGACATCTCTTCAAGTCCAACATATCAGAGCTAACATGGCAGCCCAGAACAGACCAGAACCACAATATCATAAACAGATGCCTCGTGTTGAAGTCAAATGTACGTTGTAAATAAAAACAGGTATTTAAAAGAGTCACACTTGAGACAAATCAATGTATGGATTATTGGAGTAAACACACCCACCTGGCTCTAACAGCTCATCAACTCCACATGGAGTAACTCCTTCACTGCAGTTGTTCCAGGGAGCCCGAGTGTCACACAGCAACTGGAGGTTGGTACATACATTCCTATTGAACGTACACTCATGATGAGATTGTTCCATTTCAGTACTGCAAACAAATACTTCGTCGGCTCCCTATGTCTTAATCTCTTTCAAGGGTTTTATACCCAGATTCTTTTTATGACATTTCATGATTGGTTTAAAGAGCTGGGTCCCGATTCACAAAACATTCATTGCGCTACGACATCCTTAAGGTTTTGATAAACTATACAGTTACGACAGGTCGTAGCGCTACGACATTCTTAAGGTTTTGATAAACTATACAGTTACGACAGGTCGTAACGTTACGAACGCTTTGTGGATCGTGACCTTGATACTATGCTGGGGCCCGTTTCACAAAGCTTTCGTAAGCCTAAGATCTCGTAACTTTTATCGTAACATTCGTACCTCCTATACTGTAACATATGAGGTACGAATGCTACGAGAAAAGTTACGAGATCTTAGGCTTACGAGAGCTTTGTGAAATGGGGCCCTGAACAATATAAGTTAGGGGTCATGACTATTGCTTTGTGATAAAGTATTATCTATAACATATGCATATAACAGATCTATAACAGTTTTCATTACTACCGATACAATATGTCGGCAGAAAATCTGTGAAACCTTATTTCTCAGCCTACAATGATACAAAATGCGTTTTTCTTGAAGAAGATCGTTCAGTTTAGGTAGATGTTAGAAATACGGTGTCCTAAAATATATTACTAGGAATACGTTAATGATTAATTACAGTGGACACTGTATAATCCGACATCTGAATTATCCCACAACCTGTGAATTCCGACATATGTTGGGGATCCCGGCAGCGTTCTTCTATATTATCATCATTTAAACATTGAATTATCTGTCACAAGACAGCTGGACTTTGCAAGTCTATACCAGTCCTTGATACAATCAGGTGGATTTGTTTTTACCCTTGTTTTTACCAAGAAAATAGATATTAAACATTAATTTCATGATATAAGCCAATTACAATGGATGGTACTGTTTGAAAAGTATTCAAGCAAGGAGACACTGAATTATCCGACACTCTGTATAATCCGACATTTTTTCCCGGTCTCAGTGAGTGCCGGATTATAGAAAGTCCACTGTAGAAGGGATCTAACCGCCTATGGCTGTTTTTATATTTCAAGTCTGCAAACACCACTCCCAACCTCGTGGGCATCATCTAAGTGGTGAACACCGTGGTATACAAGGAATACTGTTCAAAACGGCTTTCAACCAAACTCACTCACTCAATAAATATCTCGGAATAAATGACAGAACTGGAGTTATTTAAAAATACATTGGTCCTTTCGGTTCCTTATATTGAGATCTTTGCAGCGTAGTGTTTGAGGAGACTATTTTCCTGATTCATAGTGAATAATTCGGTTTCATTGTACCCATTTACATGCGATCATTCTGGGTTCGACAGGGACGCGTATTAAGTCCATTATTATTCAACCAAGTGACAATGAATTTGAAACCCGGAAATCTTGAACCTTCCTGTCAGTTCTCATACTACAGATCATGTACTGTTTGTTTTTTTAAACGATCTCTGGTCTACAGCAACGTCGTAAAATAATTTTCTAAAAGATTGCTGTTTAACTGTAAATTTAGGTTAAACCAAAATTCTAGTTTTCACAAAAGATTTATATTGTAAACATAAAAAATGGTGGCATATAGTTACGTGTTTCGCCATAGAAGTATTTAGATGCTATATTTGCAAGTTGTGAGTGGTAATCCAGTTCTTTTCGGCTTAATGAATTTTTGGCAGTCTTTTAACCCAAACATTTGAAAAGTGTCCAAAATATTGGATATGTTTTCCCAGTATTGCTATACAAGGTATGGTGTAGATAAAACAGAAGCTGTACGTTATGAGTATGTAACGTATATCTCTCGTATATCTGATGTTGGTGAATATTGTAGATACAGCCAATTCATAATTACTTTCACATATTGGTGCAAGATAATGTATATATCAGATAACCGGTAAGTACCGGTTACCGGTTACGCTTTTGGAAGAAATAATATATTTGTATTGTGTTTTTCGCAGCTACATGAGACCAATATTCTCAAAATTACCTATTCGTTTCTTTTTTTGAAGAGTGTAATTGTTCCTGATCTGGTTGTCTTTTTACTTCAGAGACTCTGATCCGTGAAGATGAACATTCTGAGTTGTCTCCTCTTGACGTGTCTGTGGTGCGTCGTCACGTCGTACTCACGATATTGCCTCATATCGGGGATGAGAGTGAAAGTTAACGGTAATTGCATTGTATATGTATGTCCATGTTCAAACTGTCAAAGTTTCGTCCTGAGTACGTTTGTATCATTATGAGGACCCATGAAGATCCGGGTTAGATATTGGTCTTCAGCAACCCATGCTTGTCGTAAGTGGCGACTAACGGGATCGGGTGGTCAGGCTCGCTGACTTGTCTAATGCATGCCATCGGTTCCCAATTGAGTAGATCGGTGCTCATGCACTGGATTCGATGGTCCTGACTCGACCTTATTTACAGGCGTCATATTGTCGAGTACGATGTTAAAGACCAAAACCCATATAACTGGAGATGGTACACGTCGACAGATCTGTTTACCACTTCGTGGGTAAAATACTACTCACACTTTGCTGAGGATCACAAAAATTCACAACTTTTACTTAAACGTAGATTTATAATTTGAAATTGATTTATCTCTCAAGTTTTCGAAAATGAGAGAAAACAGTTGATTCACAAAACAATTTATACTGAAATGAAATTAATTTTCATTAGTCGAAAACTACGAACTTTATCCACAATGTGTTAAAACCTGTATGTCACAAACACAAACACGTTTCACAACTGAATATTGTTGTACACCCTATATCTTGTAAATGTTGAACCTCTAATGCCGCTGATGGTTCTCTCCCATTTGACAGACACCTATTTGACAGACACCCATTTGACAGACACCCATTTGACAGACACTGAACTAGAAAGTTAATTAGGGCAACACCTACGGGTATAATGGAACCGTCCACTGGTCTAGTGAGAAGAGTAGGGCGAGTCAGAAATTATAGTGTGACCAGAAATATTGAGAATTTTGGGAATATGTTTAATTGGATTTCTAGTATAAACAACCTTGACCAGCTATCAAGTGCTTGGTTTCATTCAAGAGAGACAACTCCGTTAATTCTTTTTTCATTAGTTTGTGAAGAGTTATCCCCCTTTGTTTACTTGCTAGCAGACGACATTTTCAATGATCCTCAGTATGGATGATTTAGAGAAGAGGAAGTTGATTTTAGAGTATTATAACAAGGACATCAGTTCAGCTAAAGTGATTTCAAGTAGAACAGGCATCCCTTTGTCCACTGTTTATCGAGTTTTGAAAAATATTGCAACTGGATATGGCATTGAGCACCAGGGAGGCGCAGATAGGCCCAGAGGATTGACTGTCGGTGACAGGAGGCGGCTTGGTATTCTTCTTTCTAAAAACAAACGAAGGAGTTTAGAAAACTTAAGGCTGGATATGATTGATAGAGGAACTGTGGCTGTCTGTAAGGAGACAATTAGAACTGAGCTGCATGCAATGAGTTGACAGAAAAGTCGAGGAATTCCATCACCGATCATGACACCTGAACAAAAGGAGCGAAGGTTGAACTGGTGCTTACAGCATAGAAATTTTAACAGGGACAATGTGATTTTCTCAGATGAAAGTTCTGTGAGGCTGTTTCCTAATACACTGAAATTCTGGACCAAACAAACTGAAAAACCTTTGTATCAGCGCCCAAAGTACAGTCCGAAATTTAACGTGTGGGGTGGCATATCTGTGTTAGGGGCAATGCCCCTCTGTGTATTTGAAGGGAATATGAACAGTGAGCGGTACACAGATATTCTCGAGGGACATTTACTTCCATCTGCTCACGTGTTCTTGGATTTTCCAGTAGGACAACGACCCAAAACATCGTTCAAAGCATTCACAGGCCTGGTTTCGGACCCAAAATATGACATTATTAGATTGGCCAAGCTATAGCCCTGACCTAAATCCAATAGAAAATGTTTGGGGACTTATGAAGGAAAGTGTCAATAAGAAAAATCTGACAAACATTGCTGATATGAAAGAAGAGGTGGTCCGATACTGGGACAGCATGAACCACGGTTTTCTAACTTCTTTGATCAGTAGTATGCCCCGCCGCATTGAAGCCTGCATTGCTGCCCATGGTGACTTGACAAAATACTAACTGTTCACCTGTCTTTGAATCTGGAGTTATGTTCTGCTAATATTCACATTTAATACGTGAGTAATGAGTGAAAAAAAAAAAAAAATTACAATATTTCAATTCTCAATAATTTCTGGTTGTACTGTATCAGAGTTTCTTAACTCATAGCTTGTCCGGTTGCCTACTGTAGGTGGGAGTAAATCCTGAATAAAAACTGGTGTTTAGTAGGAAATACTCCAGTCATTTCAGATATTTTTTGACAATGTTTTCAGTATGATGATGCCAACTCCCTTTTGACGAGAAGGTTAAACCGACATGTTTATGAAAATCAACTGTTTTCATATTGCAGCAATAAAAATTCGAATGAGTGTCTTTTCGGCTATCTTTCAAAGTAAATATAGCTTCACTTTGTTCATGCGTTTTTATTTGGACTATTCCATTATAATGTATAGGTAACAGGTAGTAGCTAATCCGTTCATTGAATCGTAAATGTTGTTTTAAGGCGTCTGCGAACTGCCTGTCTGTGTAATGGGAGGACACCCCGCTGATAGTGGCCTGAGTGTAAATAAAGTTCAGTTCCCAGAAACAGTGTATTATGTGTTCCAGGTAACCAATGCGACGTGATGAACCGTGGGATCGGACATCAGATGACGTATGAGGCCAAGGACTGCGGGGTGACGCTCACGTGTATTGACGGTGGAATCAACGCGTGTATTTCACAGTAAGTTTTCCACAGCGCTGTTAGCATTAAATCTCTGTCCTGCATCGCCTGGACGTGACTATGATGACCACGGCAGCCCTTGTGGACTATGAGTGTCGGGAGACGATAAAGGTGCAGTGAGGTCAGAATCAGTCGATGCATTTCAAGGTATGCTTGTTGCTTAGATTATTGCTCAGGCGTCTCGGGATTTCCTGATCTCGGATGGGGCGGTGGGGTAGCCTAATGGTTAAAGCGTTGGCTCGTCACGCCGAAGACCCGGGTTCGAATCCCCACATGGGCACAATGTGTGAAGCCCATTTCTGGTGTCCCCCGCCGTGATGTTGCTGGAATATTGCTAAAAGCGGCGTAAAACCAAACTCAGTCAGTCAGTCAGTCAGTCCTGATCTCGGCTGCATTACGTAAAGACGCACGCACGCACGAAGACACAAGCACACGGACTGACCAACCGTCCCTGAATTGAAGAAATCACAGTCTCTCTAAACAATAACCTGATGGTATACTTGCCTATATTCCAGGACATTGATGTGTACGGTTATCACACTTGACTGCAATACACTGGTGAGAGAGACTACTTCCATAGTGGATCGACTACTATGCAAGGATTGAGCGGCCAAGACAGATAGACATGAGGCACCCAGCTGGTTGCAAGGATTGAGCGCCAAGTCTTCAGATAGACATGAGGCACCCAGCTGGTTGGTCCTGTGGTCATGATGCTGATACTTCAAATAAACTTACGTTTATGGCGATTGATTTTGTCTATTTGTACCCTTCTTTTCTTTGTTTAACACCACAATCAGCTGCTCTCAGGCTATTCGACGGGGACATGTATATGTGTCTGGACCAGACGAACCAGTGATTGATGTTATGAGCACCACTCCGCGCTGTCAGTGTCTGAATCACCAGCGTCCTTGAGCCAAGTCCATTCCAGTTGGCCATGTACCGATTCGAACAAGGCATTCACTCACGGATAATAACAGGTCTCGTGAACTGGTTATGGTGACGCGTTTGTTTCATACAATCACTCTGATCTTCACTGTGGTAGACAGATATCACATTAATCCACACCAGCCGTTTGTAAAGAAAATCAATATTCTTGTTTTACAAAATGCACCAGTTCAAGACATGCCCAATGAGAATATGAGTGAGTGAGTTTAGTTTTACGCCGCACTCAGCAATATTCAAGCTATGATGGCGGTCTGTAAATAATGAAGTCTGGACCAGACAATCCAGTGATCAACAGCATGAGCATCGATTTGCGCAATTGGGAACCGATGACGTGTCAACCAAGCCAGCGAGCCTGACCACCCGATCCCGTTAGTCGCTTCTCACGACAAGCATGGGTTACTGAAGATCAATTCTAACCCGGATATTCTCGGGTCAATGAGAATATGAAAGGTTCCTGAGAGATGTTTGTGAGTTATGCTTCAGAAAAGAAAGCTTCCTTCAACTGAACAAGTCCAACTTATTGCCTTGGAAGGGTGTTGGTATGGGTGTAGGTGTGGGTGTGTGGGTGTGGGTGTGGGTGTGGGTGTGGGTGTGGGTGTGGGTGTGGGTGTGGGTGTGGGTGTGGGGTGTGATACCAGGATTTCGGTGAAGTTAACAACTAGCTAACTAGCGCTGTAATATAAGGGTTTCATATTAGTAAACATAAAGAAAGGCGTTATTCGGTCTCCTTTTCACCGACTATAAAACAGTTGACACTTTTCAACATCAGAGAGAATTTATCTACGTAAATGTCACGGAAATCAAAAAGAATGAGTCAGTTTGGTTCCACCCACTTAGAACAATATTCCACTTGCTTTGCACAATGTCAGTTTTATGGGGGGACGAAAGCCCGCAGCGATGTAGGGCGCAGTCGTTTAGCATTTAAGTTAAACGGGGATCAGGGCCTTCCAGGATTCAAACCCATGATCATAGGTGTCTGGTGTGCTCAAGGGACGCAACTCCGCACAGCGAACTGCCGCACCTTACAGGACTGGTCTAGTCGTGCTCCCCAAGAATGTAGTGTACATTTATCATATCTCTATCAAGTGTATTGCATCACCATCCTATAATGAAGAAACAATGAATACTAGGTATTGTTTATTTCTTTTTAAAGAGAAGACTGAGCACACAATTTAATAAAAAGTCCCCCAAAATATGTAGAATTTCTAACATTCTTGGTCACTTTGTGATGTGCCCAATAACTGCCACTTCGTATTGTGTGCAGTGTGAATGGCACATAGAATATAAATGCATTCCTGGTAAGAAACTTGAACCTCCTCATCACATCTAAGTCAACTTTTGGTGGCAATATGGGTCAAGGGTATTTACTGTTTGAGTGAGTGAGTGAGTATGGTTTTACACAGCTTTTAGCAATATTCCAGCAATATCACTGGGAGAACACCACAAATGGACTTCACACAGTGTAGCCATGTAGGGAATCGAACCTGGGTCTTCAGTGTGACGAGCGAACACTTTAACCTCGAAGCTATCCCACTATCATAATACACCTGGATAACCGAGGATGGTGAATAACAACATTACTGGGGTAACTGTAATCACAGATGTATTTATTTCACAGGACACACATCACACAAAGACATTTTCAATATATATTTTGCTATATACCAAAGTCACATCCATTAAGTAGATGTTCATGTTAGCATGAAACATCACTGTTTAAAAATGAAAGGCATTCTGAAACGAAATATCTCAATATAATATAACATTTCAAACACAGCCCTGGTCCATACAGTATAGCATGTGCTCAGATTACCCACAAAATTACTTCCAGCAACTGTCACAGAGTATTCAGCCTCCATATCTCCTGGTCTAACATTACAATGAAAAGAATTTAACGGCTTGATCAAATTAGTGGTTCTCCGATCTCAAATTACCCATCCTTAAGGACAAACTTTATGGATGAATTATGTCTTTATTCAGGTCATTCCTTCATCATATGAATCATTCGTAGAATTCGATACAGATTCTTGTATCATCATCAAGCAGGTATGTGACGTTTCGATACTTATTCGCTAGGAGCAAGAATATTAGCTCTGAACGTCGTAGAAAGAATAAAAAGAAGTTGTTATCCAAAAAACGTGTCATATATTCATGTTGCCTTTCAAGAACTTCAATAAGAATGTGAGTTAGAACACAGTCTTAGGCTCAGTATTATTCGTTACACTGTTATACTGAGTCTAACAAAACCTTGTGGAAGGTCGCATCAGGTAACCTTTTCAATTGACCAATCAGAACACAGCTTACCAAATCGCGAAAGTTGACATTCGCACATACCTTTTGAACTTTTACCTCGAAAAAAGTTTTCTACCCGAACGATTCCGAATGCTACACTCGTATTTTACGTACGATCGCTTCCGAGTGATGCACATGAAGCACGCAACAGTGAGTAAACACTTGCTGAAAATAGCTTTTGTCAGTATTCAAGGATGTCAGCTTGCGGAAATATTAGCTAATGATAACCACGTCAACAGAAACCCAAAAGCGTACATTCTGCAGGTCTTATATCTATGTTTTATGCGGGTTTTCATTTGTTGCGAGATCAGTGCTGGCGACCGGGGAAGAGAAAATACATTTTGTAAGTCCCGACGAACCCTAAATAGTAGCTGATGTCTGACTGGTTAAAGACGTTCGGACGTCTCGCGTTTGATTGGACGGTCATAGGTCGCTCAAAGGTTACCTGACGCGACCGTCTACCTTCCAAGGTTTTGTTAGTATAGCAGTGTAACGAATAATACTGAGCCTAAGTTTACTTAGACTGTGTTAGAACACAGGTCAGTGACATCAACATGTTTACAATATTGTTGGCCAGAAATTCAATTTGAAAAACAGACCAGCATGAAAAAGTCTTTCTTTTTTAACAGAAAGGATGTCTTTGTGTCTATTAAAAGTGAGTCATTTCCCATTTTCCTTATTTTGAAGTCTGACTGGTCGCGAAAATGTTAATGACAATCAAGGGTGCTTACTTTGAGATTGTTTACTGTAGATTTACTGAAATGTGAACCCTGGACATCAAGGAAATTTGAGAATGAGTGAGTGAGTATGGTTTTATGCCGCTTTTAGCAATATTCCACCAATATCATGGCGGGGGACACCAGAAATGGGCTTCACACATTGTACCCATGTTGGGAATCGAACCAGGGTCTTCAGCATGAAAGGGAATGCTTAGACCACTAGGCTACCCCTCTGCCCTGAGAATAAAGATAAACATACCATGTCTTGAGGTCTGAGGCAACCACACGATGGAAATGATACCTTATATTTTCATTTAGAACCTTAGAACCACTCACTATTTTAATTCTGTTTTGACAGTTCAGAATCAGCATTTATCAACACTTTTGTAGATTTTTTAACAGTTCCCATTTACTGTATAAAAGTGTGCAAAATGAGAACTAACTATTTTACGAAATGTTATATGTCAAATATACTAGAAGATCATGTCATCCAGAGTTGTGTGGTTACATGCGAAGTGCTTCCAAAAATATCCCTTCAGCAACAGAATAAATCAGTGGATGTTTCTAACTGTGACCTTGTAACGCCTGTAAAATGACTAGCAGTATGTTAGATACATATCCGAGGTCTAATAAGAAAATCATTATCTCAAAGGTTACAATTGGTCCTCCATGAGATGATGAGTCAGCATGTTGCCTGTCTATCGTCCAGCTCCCAGTATCAACTGTATCTGAGTGAGTCTCGCTTCCTCTTCCTGTCTCTGATTGCCACAAAGTCTTTACGTGTTTGACTAAGCCTCAGCTCGAGAATGTTGTTTATTTTCTGAACAATTTCACTGGCCACCTCCTCTTCCACCTCGAAGTCATGATGCTTGTAGTCATGATTGGTCTGGTACATCATCCGAAACACGCACTTGCCTACAAACAGAACATCTCGTCAATAGAACATATATGTAATACATAGGGCTGCGCAATGTAACCGGTTTACTGGTATTTACCGGTTCAGACATGAAAACGATACGTATTGCGATACGCTGATCGAAAACTGGTATTTTGACTTGCATTCGGAAAACTTCGTAACACTCGGAAATCTTCGGATATGTCCTTGTTTCATTTGTGCCAAATATTATTCACATTTTTATTTTATCATGATTAAAAGTTGTTATTAAAGCTTAATCAAGCCTAGTGATTTTGTTGTGTTTTTGCTCTATAAATCAAGAATTAACTCGATTATAAGTAGTTTTTTGTTTAAAAATACTTCATGCAATATATTGTAATACGTATTGAAATACATGCTTTTGCATTGCAATATACCGCAATATGAAAATTCTCTGCAATACCCACCCCTAGTAATATATAATGAGTGAGTTTTATTTTATGCCGCTTTCACCAATATTCAAGTATCACCATGAGGGGAACACCAGAAATGGGCTTCACAAACTGTACCCATGTTAGGAATCAAACCTTCCGAATGACAAGGTAACTCTTTCATGACTAGGCTACCCCTCCACCCCCTCTTTAATAAGTGACTGCTATGCATTCTTGCATTTATATAGGTCTAAATGTACATCAGGCGGGCACAGTGTCCTGTGTGGCATATAGTGATATTGACATTGCAGAGGTACAGATAAGCTGCGTATCTGCGTACATTACGCAAATATTTATGGGAAAACTCAATTCCTATTAAGTCTATTGTGTACAAGTACGCTTGAAATTTTGTAAAAACTCAATAAATGTGATCTTACATGCGTACACACAAAAATTTCAAATCTTAGCTTTCGTACCGGTGGATTGATAAAATAACTGAGGTATATTGAGAGGTTCTATTTCAGGAACTTGGCAACTTGGAGTCTTTCTTACAGTTTCTCATATTACAGAATAAATATAAATAACAAACATTAACATTTAAACTTTCTTATAGATTAAAATTAATGGAAAATAGCAAAATACCCAATTGAGTTTGAGTGAGGTGGGTACAATTTATTTGGTTACTCAAAGGACAATTAGGATACCCAATTGAGATGAACACACGGGAGTACATAACTCAATGACCCAAAAATTTATCTGCAGCTCTGGACATGCAAAAATGTAAAAAAACCTGTTGAAGTCAATTCTTACAAATAAAAAAATCAACAACAATAGCTTCAAAGACATATTTAAGCATTAACACAAAAAAGTGCTGACAATACAAAATCAGTTGCATAGGCGGATCCAGAAAGTTTATTAAATGACCATTAAAACTTTAACAGGTGAAAATGAACTGTGCATCCCCCTATTCTCAAAAAGCTGTATCCGCCTCTGAGTTCCGTTGTTCAGCATGAAACTGCAACACAAACCTCGCACTTTCCATCATTGTCTATTGTCAGCCAATTAAGAAACAGAAGTTAGTACTGGGGCTCCTTTCACAAAGCACTAAGGTGATCGTAAGTCACTAAGGTAACCTTAGTGCAATGTTAAAGAATGGGAGTTAAGGTTAACCTTAGTAAAGGTTGCTTCATGAAAGGAGCCCCTGGACATGGCCTTATTTTCAATTTAAGAAAACATGATGGTAAAAATGTTTGCTGGTCAGCTCGTCAAATCCTGGAATCACTGACAATTAATGTTCATAATATCAATCCAGTTCAAACTGAACTTGAACACCTTAATAGGATGGAGGGAAGTTGTCATCAATACACCTTCCACGGTTGGTCAGGTACACTTTGTGTGTGTGCTTTAGCCCATCTCAGCAAAATCCCAGCTGTATGCCAGTGGCCTGCACATAGTGTGTGGACTGGACAATACAGTGACTGATATGACCAAGATCCCTAGGTATCAGAGTGGTGACAAGCAGAAATAAATGTCACAAAGTCTGGTCCAAAGGAAAGAAAGCGACGCTTAAATGTAATATCACTAGGCTTAGGCAAAAAGACCATGTTACGTCATCAAAATCTTAAAGAGTAAATGCCACAAAAGCCATAATTGCCTCCACTTAATGACATTTCTTATTTTCACCAGGGCTCAGGGGTAGCCTTGTGGCTTAAGTGTTTGCTTGTCATGCCTAAGACCCAGATTTGATTCCCCACATGGGTACAATGTGTGGAGCCCATTTCTGGTGTTCTATGCCATGATATTGCTGGAATATTACTTAAAGTGGCGTAAAACTAAGCTCACCCACTCACTATTTTCACCATTATGTTAAAACATAATGGCTGACAAAAAATAACATCTTGTCATTAAGGACCCGTGAAGATCCGGGGTAGAATATGTCTTCAGCAACCCATGCTTGCCACAAAAGGTGACTATGCTTGTTGTAAGAGGCGACTAACGGGATCGGGTGGTCAGGTTCGCTGACTTGGTTGACACATGTCATCGGTTCCCAATTGCGCAGATCGATGCTCATGCTGTTGATCACTGGAATGTCTGGTCCAGACTCGATTATTTACAAAACGGCGCCATATAGCTGAAATATTGCTGAGTGTGGCATAAAAACTAAACTCATTCACTCTTGTCATTAAGACCCTCTCATTGCATCTTCTGCGCAGTAAACTTCCAGTTGTATGACATTTGATCTATATATTCGAGTCTGGACAAGACAATCATGGGGCATTCGTGACCCACTCGTGTTATTCCAGGACAAGCCGAATAGCGACTCGTGCCCCTCTCGAAGGATTTCATATTGGCGCATGAACATCAGAACTACTTTAAACAAGAACGATAACTCTATCCGTTTGATTCCAATGTTTCTTAACATCACCGAAGTACATGTACATTGCTAGGTTGTTGTTCTGTTGTTTTTTTCTTATCTATGTTAAAGAATTAAACCTCTTTGATACAACTAAAAGAAGGAGAAAAACATATTTGTGAAAGACATATTCTTATGTAATTATTACCAGCTGTTCACCTTATATTTCCAATTTTCTAAATAAGGTTTAATAATCACGAATGGGAATTGTTTTATTGAATATACAAATAAAATAATATTTTTTTAGCTACATTAAATCCCAAAGCAGATACTCAAAAATGACTTTGAAATATTTCTCAAACTGAACATTTGTGTAACCTTGCACCCCAGGTGGAATTTCAAATGAATTCGCTGAAAACAATATGAATGACCAAAAACAGTCAGACTAAAATATCCCCAGAGCTATGAAATATAAGCCCAATGTTAAAGATTAAGTTTGATTAGTTACATACAAATACGATATTATTGTTTTGAAAATTGGTCGAAGCGCACGTACAATCTCCATAACAAGCCCGCAAGCTCGTCAGAAATACACTCAGTTGGACCCATGAGAGCTGTTATGTCAACAAACGCATGTGCGTGTATTTGAATCTCTCACCGTCAATCGCATGATTCTTATTAAAAACTTCATAATAGCCAGCAAAATCCTTTTAGCTACATCATTTATACTTTCAATATGACGATATATATTTTTCATGATTCTTTAAACAATGGCATAATGCCATAAACGATTTAAGTACTCGGGATTATTTTTATCAAAGCACAGCGCTCATTTACGCGCGTTCTGATTGGTTTGTCGTATTTTCGCACATAACAAGTATCGAGTGGGGGACGAGTCTCCTTTGAGGTTACAGAAAGGGGCGAGTGGTGACGAATGACTCAAGGGGTTGTCATCATGAGCTCCCATGCACTCACATATGATGACATGCTAATATACTTACCATTAGACCTATTTTCCACAATATCACAGTCGGCAATAGTGTCAGCATCATAAGTAACAGCCTTCTGCTTGAACAGCCTCCCTGTGCCCTTGTTGGTGACTGGGTCTATTTCCACCTTCTCACCACTAACACCTGGAGGCAACAAAGGGAGACAACTGCAGTGACATACACATTTATTGTGAGCTTGACTGACATGGGGGTGCAGCAATCATATTGAAATCACATCTGTTGTGAAGCAAGTTTCTTTGGCTGAATTGATGTTAACATAGCGTGGAATCATATCAAAGTAATAGATCTCATTTGAATGATACTATGGTGCACAATAATTTGTAAATGTCTTGAATTAAGCTATCAAGTTAACATTGAGGGAAAAGAACATTAATGACATACTGAAAAACGTTCCCCATAAACCAGGGCTCCAGATAACTTTTGGGGGTGCGAGTGTACTTACACATCATATTGCAAGTGGAGGTGTACTGAGAATTTTGAAGGAGTACTGACATGTTTTTGTGTGAGCGAGTTGGTGATGTGGTTTGTCTGGACGATTCATCGATCACTATTTCCAACCATGTATTTGTATTTGAAGACGCGTGAGAAATAACTGAGCAACCGTGTGATGCGTGAAATGTCAGGTCCGACTGGATATAAATAGGAACAGTGTAGTTTTTAGCCAATCGAAAAATAGTGACGCATATCGTTGCATGGCAACGCAAGGGATTCCTACTGTCGGGGTTTCCTCATGTGTAAAATCGTGTTTTGCAAAAGAAACTTGACAAGTATTTATCCGAAATAGATTTCCATTTGCACGATACTCACGGAAATTAAATGTTAGACGTACAAAGGTATTTATGTGCGTTCACGATACGCTTTAAATCTTATATTATGTCGTACTTAATTGATTTTGAGGCGTACATTACGCCTGTACGCCCCTTATCTGTAGCCCTGTAAATCGTTACTGTCCATTGTCTAAAATTTGCTTTAAGGACGCTGCAAAAATTAAACTGTTTCCATGCTAAAACTGACTTATCATGAGGACCTGATCCGTAAAGCGTTCATAGCTCTACGTCATTTGTAAACCTATGACAAACTATAAACTTGTAATAGCTCTACGTCATTTGTAAACCTATGACAAACTATACACTTGTCATAGCTCTACGTCATTTGTAAACCTATGACAAACTATAAACTTGTAATAGCTCTACGTCATTTGTAAACCTATGACAAACTATACACTTGTCATAGCTCTATGTCATTTGTAAACCTATGACAAACTATACACTTGTCATAGCTCTACGTCATTTGTAAACCTATGACAAACTATACACTTGTCATAGCTCTACAGTTGTCATAGCTCTATGACGTAATTATACCGTGAAGATCCGGGTAGAATAGGTCTTCAGCTATACCCATTTTGTTGTCATAAAGGCTGACTGCTTGTGTAAAAGCCTATGCGTATAGCTATTTGTAAAGCCTACGGGACTGTCATAGCTGGTCATTTTGTAAACCTATGGACTGACTTGGTTGACACATGTCATTTGGTTCCCTACTTGACAAACTATACATGTTCATGCTGTTGATCACTGGATTGTCTGGTCCAGACTCTCGTCATTTGTAAACCTATGATTTTACAGACCTATGACAAACATATAGCTGGAATATTGCTGAGTCCTATGACAAACTATCAACTCACTTGTCATAGCTCAAACGTCATTGGTAAACCTATTACAAACTCTAAAGTTGTCATAGGTTGTAACAAACCTACAAACTATACAGTTGTGTTGTAACATTACAAACACTGTGTGGATTGGGACACATTACCATATCCCAGTTACAGCTGCTCAAGCCTAGTATTCTTTATTACGAACGTTAAGCAACATGACTAGATCTCTACTCATTAAAATGTTGTTAAACTTAAAGACAATGACAACTTTACTGCACAGGCACACTTTACAGTGTTTATCCCACACTAATGATGACTGGATGTCTAACTGTAGAGGTAGAGAGAAGCCCAGTCAGTGTTGGTATAACATTACCTAGCTGAACCTCTGTGTTGGTCCTCAGCTTATGCACCATGTTGACGATGTAGGACTTGTACTGGTGGCTGGTCAGAGACTCTGCCACGTCCGAGGAATCCACAGGATACAGCTCTTCTAAGTCCCCTCGCTGACCTACAAGACAGGATCAAAACCGGTGAACACAGGAGCAGCCACAGTCAACACAGGATCAACCACAGTCAACACAGGATAAACCAGTCAACACAGGATCAACCATAGTCAACACAGGATCAACCACAGTCAACACAGGATAAACCACAGTCAACACAGGATAAACCACAGTCAACACAGGATCAACCACAGTCAACACAGGACACAACAACCACAGTCAACACAGGATCAACAACACAAACACCCACAGTCAGCACAGGATCAACAACACAAACCACAGTCAGCACAGGATCAACAACACAAACAACCAGTCAACACAGGATCAACAACACAAACAACCACATTTAGCACAGGATCAACAACACAGGTTATACTACCAAGGTATTGTACTCACTGTTTTCCCTGACGAGACAAAACTCCATAGTGTCTGTTGCGGCCAGGGTGGACTCGAGATCAATCACAGACCCAGGCTCGCTCTGCTTCTCCAGGTAGTAACTCAAACCTGCAACACAGAGATACATGGTGCAGTCAATCCACATGTGAGTTGAGACTCAAGAAGAGATTCTCAAATCCAACAATCTGTATAACAGCACACCTGGCTCCAAGTTCACATTTTGCCTGCCTGCCTGCCTACCTGGCATCACATTTTGGTACTTCCCCTACATGGCTTCACATTTTGGTGCCTCCCTCCTGCGTCACACTGTTGATATCTTCAACACAGCTTCACCTTTTGGTATCTTCACTACCTGACTTCACATTTTGGATCTTCACTACCTGATTTCACATTCTTATATCTTCACAACTAGGGGTGAAACGGTACGCTCTTACCACGCGACGGTTCGTATTGTAGTACAAGGCCTTCGGTTCCGTCAGTATATGAGATATGATCATAATGCAGAAAATTGACAACAAAAGCCAAACCACAGGGGCTTGTATAGCTGAAAACAATACACGAGTGAACGAGTGTTGGACCTAGGACGTATCATTTTCAGCATTACAAGCCCCTGTGAGCAAAAGCTTACATTTTTTAATAGCATGGAAAACAATAACCATAATCTTTGTTATTTTGAATTAACAAAACTGTCATTTTATGATTGGATAGAAAAATGGCGGTACAAAAACCAAAAATACTGTTTTTGTTTTATCGCATTATGGTATACCGAACCCAAGGCAAAATACTGCAGCTCTACTAATACCGTGGTATACTGTTTCACCCCTATTCACAACCTGACTTCACATTTTGGTATCTTCTCTACAGCTTCACATTTTAGTACCTCCCTTACCTGGCTTTACTTTGATTTTGCGTCGTTTGAGAACTTTGTTGAGGATGTCTTTCATAGGAACATGCATGTTTTCGACTTGGAACTTGTTGAATCCTCGGCTCGGAACATTTCTACAAACATACAAAATACACAAGAGGTTTTCAACATAGTTATCAACGATCACTGTTTTTATGCCTACAATCTAAATGTGAATTTTAATCAACATAATTAACACTGCATTCACTACTTATAACTTGGGCAATGGGTTAATTTAATGTGAATTTTAAACCCACTACTTATGACTGAATTGGATTCCCACTGTGACTATAAGTGACTTTGCTTACTCACATTGTGACTACAAGAGACTTCTTTGGTGTTGGGTGAGCAGGTGCCCTCTCCACTAATGCCAGCTTTGAGAATCCAAACTTTGACACGGGTTCCCGTTTGTCGAGGCTGGGGAAGTCCATGTCAACCTCGCCGTCGTCCTCAGCGATGTGCAGCCAGTAGACACCAGTGTCCTCTCTGGAACCAGCAACATCGTAACAAACACATATCTATTTGAGATGTTAAAGAGAAACCATAATATTATCTGACAGACAGAGGATTCAAATCATCTCTGCTAAACAGGCATGTCAGTAATTAGTACATTTTCGGAATTTTTTAACCCCAAAGAATTACTAAAAAGTTATTCAAAGAGGTTATACGAGAAAGTTTGTTCTCACATCATCCTGGGTTCGCGGGCCTCGTGTGTATACTGCCAGCAAATCAGACCAATTAGTTCCTCCACTTTAGCTGTTGCCACGACAACCACTGGCATTGGATAGGCTCTACTATCTGCTGGTGCCATAGTAAGGAAAATGTCGATTTTTTTGGTTGCAATACCTGCACTCGCCTGAAATTTTCAAAATGAAAGCCTTTCAATAACTTGATGTGTCCTTGATATATGACAATCTGAAATTAGAATGTCTGTATTTTGTTTGCATTCTTATTTATTGGTTTGTTGATGGGTAACTCATGATGATTATTTCTATGTAATATACACAAATATTTGTTTGTTTGTTGTTTAATGCCGCAACCGGCAATATTCCAGCTATATGGGGGCGGTCTGTAAATAATCGAGTCTGGACCAGACAATCCAGTGATCAACAGCATGAGCATCAAAGAGGGAAATTCTATTAGTAACATGCTTTTAATGTACACACCACAAATAATTTTGCTATTTCCAGACCCAGAACTTATCTTGCTAATGTGTTCCACTATACTTGAACATTCCGCATCATGAACCTGGGTTTACAGGGATGAGAATGTATTGAACTAAACAAACACTATGTTAGCTGTGGATCGGATTACATGAATTAAGAGTATATTACATTGCATCAAAACAGTGACCTTTCAAATTCCCATGACTGGGTTTAAGGTTTGTTTTTTTATTCACTGTTTAACGCAACATTAAGCAATATTCAGCTAGATCATGATAAGTTAATAATTGGTGTCAGGCAGCAAACAAAATCCTTTTATCTACTAGAAATTCAACTTAAACAGTAAAATCAACAAAGGCTAAATATCTATGAATTGACATGAATTCTCTCTATACACTAAAAATTCAGTTCACCAAAGTGTTTTCCTTTTCAGATACAACAAACATAACGCCTACCCTTCCATCAAACTTGGCATATTCTGTGAATGGGTTATCTCCCTTCATTCCATGAGTGTCCAGCTGCTGAGAGAGGAAGCTGCCCTTCCTGGTGCGCTCCTGTGGTGGTACCTCCTTCTTCTCAAACAGGTGCCCCTTGTCATCAGCTGGTACAGGGATGGACATTGCCAACATTAACATGAACACTATACTGAATGCTGCATTTGTCTATGGGTGGTCACAGATTAATCATGTTGATAGACATGTTTCAACTTTGTTCAGATTTAGACAGGCTACAGGCATATGATGAAACCAAGGGACACTACTCTTGGGAATCTCGCTAATCTGGACAACTTGAACGAGTGAGTATGGTTTTACGCCAATTTTAGTAATATTCCAGCAATATCATGACAGGTGACACTAGAAATGGGCTTCATACATTGTACCCATGTGGGGAATCTTACCCGGGGCTTCAAGTGTGATGAGCGAACACTTTAACCATTAGGCTACCCGACATCCCCAATCTGGACAATATCCAGACTTAACTTTTGGTTGCACTTAAATATTCTCCAGATGGTCCCTCTGTATTGCAAGAGTACCACAATAATTTTTAACTATCTATCATGACTTTTGCAAAAGTTAAAATCTCCTTGATAGTTACCACTAATGGTGATAAATTATCTTTATCACTTCAGGCCCTGAGCTATAAACAGCCACCCCAAATAGGAATCATTACAGGGGCATATTAAAGATTTGAAACGAAATGCCCTTGTCAGACAAACGGAGAGAAAACAATCACCATTTGTCCAAAATTTGGAATATCACCAGACTCTTAATTTTCTTCAATTCAGTCATCATAAAAATGTGAAAACCAAAACCTGCATCATGGAAAAGTAACTCAAGTCATAAACAAGCAATATAGTAATCAGGGTGTGATTTTGCTATTTACAACCTGCACTGGTGCAAGTTAACAATGGCTGGTGCAGGTTACCTTCAGTAACAAGTTGTACTCGGTGCAGGTAACAATAAATCCTCCAACATTTTATAGCTGTCAGCGTGTTTTAATTGGGAAGAAAGTGAGTGGAAGTAATACTTTTCTCCCCGCATGACTTGTTACAAGCATAGATATTTGTGCAGTCATAAATCAGTAAATCATATGATTGAGATTCATAAATAAAGGTACTGCAAAATTGAAACAGAATCATCCATCATTTATCATCATGGGATCTGGTTCTGTTGAATGTATCCGATACTGAGTACTTGTTATGAATACTGATATACAAGTATTTATGTTACATATTAGAACCAGTGACATAACTTTATGGTGCAACTTAAGTTTTGATGGTGCAGCCAAACCAATAAGCCAGGTTGCACTCGGTGCAGGTACTAAATAAAATGGCACCCTGATAATACAATAAGAGATAAAGCTTTCTTTCTATTTATTGGACATGTATTCACTTTGGAAATTCTTATGAGTGAGTGAGTTCGGTTTTTACGCCGCTGTTAGCAATATTCCAGCAACATCACGATGGGGGACACCAGACATGGGCTTCATGTGGGGAATCGAGCCTGGGTCTTCACTGAATGCTTTTTAGGCTACCCCTGTACCCCAGAAACTTCTTATGAAAACCTGGGGGCAAATATTGACATCCATGAAGGGTTTGGGACTAACAGGGTCGTGGCTTGTACTGTTGTAAGGTGCTCACCTGAGTAGTTTGTCTGGGAATCCTTCCATGATATAGTCTTCACCTTACACTGGTTCCGCTTCTCCTTCTTCAGGCGCTCCAGGCGCTGAGCCGTGTTGGAGCGGCGTCGGTGGGCACCTGCAAGCACAGAGCCTAGAATAATGTCCATAGTGGGGAGAAACTGACTTCTACTCTCAGTAACACAGTATTAAAACTGCATATAGAAAGATTCGTTCAATTCATTAATGCATCAAGTTCTGCAGAGCAGGTCGTGTTTTAACTAATAGTAAAACATCCGAGTCGAGTTGGACAAGTAGACCCAAAGGTCTTACATTAGCTGAGCCTGCAAAGGGATTGTGTGGGGAAACAGATTTTTGTGCCACATCAATATACCAGCTATACGGTAGCAGTCTGTGAATAATTGAGCCTGGACCAGATGATCTATGATCTAGTCATCAACATCATTAGCATCGATTTTTGCAAATTGGATACGATGACATACATACAAACATTTGTATAGTGCCGATATCCAGTACAACTGCTCAAAGGCGCTTTATTTTCCCTCGATCATTGGATATCCATCACAACGGCACATCATATTTTTCAATCTCAACTCCCTAGGGAGTATATAACTCTTGCTGCCTACTAGGCGCACTGAGTTAATGTGGCTTTTCCATCCTTACGATTACCCATTCACAGCTGGGTGGACTGGGACGCATAGTCACAGTACTTTGTCCAAGTTTACTGCACGTTGCCATACCCGCAACTAGGTGTTTGCACATATTCATGTGGCCACTATCTGGTCATCTACCAACGGATTCGTGGGTTCTTTTAAGTGCACAGGGTTGTGTACTGTACACTAGGGGTTGTGACAACACTGAAAGAGTCTGCACACAAAGTTGACTCCAAGGTTTTTTACACCCGGTCACAGGTGGGCTTGATCCCGGCACCTCCAAGCTCCCTGGATTACTAGCCTGGCGCCCGATGCTCGCCCACCGCGCCCCGAGGGTCATGTATCAACTAGTGGTGTGACGATTAATCCATATGCATCGATCCATGGGTCCCCGATACAGTGAATCAATATAAAGTTTTACATTGCCGTATATCCCGATACGATACTTCAAATGGTCCACGATACATTGATGTTTGACTTTGAATATTGCCAAATTGCGATATCTGTCAAGAAAAAAGACTTACTTTTGTTTGATGATTAAAATATTTTCTCTCCATACGTAAATGTTTTCTCGGAAATTCTTGCTTCAAGAACTGTGTTAGACATAGCGATCGCATGTTATTAACATTCACAAAGTCTGTATATAAACTTAATTATCTCGTTACCGAATAAACATTAAAAAAAGCTGGCGGAATTGGACCAAATACTTTAATATGGTTTTGTTTTGATCTTAAGATGCTTTACAGTTGGTGTTAGAATTAAAGATTCTAGTATCGTGATACGTATCATATCGCCACCCTTATATCGGGATTCGTATCCTATCGCAGCTTCAGTGCACAATACTTTGGCAATATAAACTTTAATATCGTCAAGTATCGTATCGCAGGTTGTATGCCAATACCAGCACTAGTGTCAACCAAGTCAGCGGGCCTGTCTACCCGATCTCGTTAGTCGTCTCTTACGACAATCATGGGTTGCTGAAGACCAATTATTACCCGGATTTTCACGGGTCCCTGAGAATGTATATTGTTGCTTATGTTAAATGTTATGTCATGTGAACAATGTTAATAATTTGTAGCCACATAAGTCTTCCAATTTTGTAATTATTATTAATCATGGTTAGGAAGTTTGTATTTCGGTGGAATGCAAACAATACCTCATTTAAGATATAATTTGATTACTTTTCATAACTGATTTCTTTATAAAAGCCTGTGAACTAACTAGTCCTGATACTTACCATAGTCCATGTCGGGCAGAATGTCATAGGAGTGAGACAGCTCATCGGAGGTGTCCAAGCCGCTGTCCACGGGGCTCGGAGGGGAGTCACAAGTGTTCCTGTAGGACACAACAGTATTAGACCTCCATGGAAATAAACACATGTTCAACCTGAGTCAGGCTGACCATGGTTCGAAAGTAACAGTAGTGAATGTGCTGGGTTTTAAGCCCCTTTTAGCGATATTCCGGCAATATCACAGTAAGGGGACACCAGAAATGGGCTTCACACAATGCACTCATGTGGGGAATCGAACCTGGGCCTTTGGCACGATGGGTGAACACAATAACCACCCAGTGGTGGTCCGATTAATTGAAATAATCGAAGATTGGTCGTAGTGACTAAACGACTAAGCAATCGATCATATTTCTTATCGAACACAAACAATTCTGGAACACTTGTTTTCATTAACAATATTTTTCACATGGTTGGTTTTGTCAGTTACATTTCGCAAGCACTGCAAGCTCATTTCAAGTCATGATTGAATTTATCTTAAGATTCCAAGAAATTTATGTTCCCAACATACTAGTCATCCTTTAGAGATGTGAAATTTTGCCAAAAAACCCCTAAAGGAACTACATGTTTTTTCCTTATTTTTATGTGCATTAACAAATTTCATAAATGACGCTAACCAATTATTTTCGATGATTGATCAGTAGTAATGAACCAATCATCAATTATGAGATTTGAACCAATTCCCAACACAATAACCACCGTGCTGACCCTTAAAGTAACATTATTATGCTGGTAACATTCAATCATATACGGATATGCCACATTGCTTGTTACCTACCACTTTCATCACTGTAGATAAACCTGTAGGAGATGATGATTTTGTGTCCCGTGTCAATAACAAGGGAGATAATTTGTTGATGTGACATTCAAGTTGACCCCCCTTCATGACCCTGGTGGCGTCACACAGATCTGGTGGAGTTCTAATACTGCTTACCAGTGAGCGTATGTGCTGAATGATTCTGCTCGAGTGTTGGGCCGCTCCGCCTCGTCCATCTCTATAATCAGCTCACACATGCCGGTGTCATCACTTGTAATAAAGGAGTTCCGAATGTGCGAGATGAGGAAATCTACATCATCCATCATCGCCATGGTGATCTGTAAAATCAGATATAATAACTGTCATTTTATGAAAAAGATAACTTAATATATTAACATGAGTAAATATTAATTTTAGTTTTTTGTATGTTGCAAAGCCAACATACCAGTAATTTTAATGTACATGGCTCTTTCAGTTTTAGAAAGATACAGTGAAGGATTGTTCAAGTTTGTTACAATGAACAGAAATGCCGGTCTGAGTGCTTCACTTATTCATACAGAGAATACAGACTGCTACATATCCTATGGAGATGCAGATAGGTATCGTATTGGAGAAAAAGGTCTGAACATGCTGAATGCTCATGGAGAGATAATAAGGGGCTGGCGTTGTTGATCTGGGCATTGAACAAAAGGACCCCAAGGCACCAATCTCTGTTATCAGTATATAAATTTGTTGGTTGGTTGTTGTTTAACACCGCACTCAGCAATATTCCAGCTATAAGGCAGTGGTCTGTAAATAATCAAGTCTGGACAAGACAATCCAGTGATCAACAGCATGAGCACCGATCTACGCAATTGGGATATGATGACATGTGTCAACCAAGACAGCGAGTCTGACCACCCGATCCCGTTAGTTGCCGTTTACGACAAGCATGGGTTACTGAAGACCAATTCTAACCTGGATATTCATGGGCACAGTATATACGTAACCAATCATACTTTAGTACAAGGTTGATAAGTTATTAAGTATGTATAGACTCAGGGCTCCAGATAAGGGCCGTATCGACGTATGTACGGATAAAAAATATGCACGATACGATAGGAAATAATTTTGAAAACGTAGCAGATACGCACCACAGCAATGGTGTACGAATCATTTACAGACGTATTTAGATGAAAAGGTATTGTTTTATTGTTTATTGACCTGTTTACACAAGAGTAGCAATGTTGTGGTGCCTATACCAAACGAAACACAAGAATACTGATTACTAATTTCCATTCAGTACTCTAAATGTACTCTTAAGTTTTTCCAGTACTCCTATATTGAAAAAAATAAGGAGTACGTACTCCTGATGTTGAAAAATTATCTGGAGCCCTGTCGACTTGTGTGCCTGACTCGGTGCATATAAGGCAAAAGCTGCAAAACTGCAACCTATAACCGACTAGGGCTGGGACGATACACTATGTCACGATACGATACATATCGCGATATTTTACCTGCGATACGATACGTATCTGCTATCACGATACATACACCTTGAAAGAATGACACAGAATTTAGATTTAAAATGATCTATTTCAAGGTATTTGTGTATAACAATAACACTATTGTAATAAACAAGCACATTATTCTATCATACTTGCGTATTTTTCTCTAGATAAGAACTTTATACTGTTTTGAAAAAAAGTTGTGTATCGTTTAGTATCGATACACCAGTCAACGATACGATAGCTGTATCAAACTTAAATGTATCGTGATGTATCGGTGCTTCGGTGAATCGTCCCAGCCCTATAACCGACTTGTACTGTACGTTGAACATCCTCTGGTTAATATGTCATAGGTATGATTCACATCTTCATAATGTTTTACCAAAATCCTATCATGTCTTGTCATGCTAACTACAAAACATTTGAATATTTACATTCTTGCTCCGACGCCATTTACAGTCTTGCTTTAAAGCATTTTACTTTTGAACATTTTGAATACAGTAAGTTTTTGTGTTCATGTTAAAAAAGGGGCGGTGGGGTAGCCTAGTGGTTAAGGCGTTTCCTTGTCATGTCGAAGACCCGGGTTCAATTCCCCACATGGGTACAATGTGTAAAGCCCATTTCTGGTGTCCCTATTTGTGCTGTTATATCGACCCTATCATGTTCACATTAGTGTTGGGAATTGGTTAAAATATCATAATTGATGGTTGATCCATTACAACCGATCAATCATGGAAAATAATTGGTTAGCGTCATTTATCAAATGTTCCTGTTGTCTTTGTAAAAAAGAAAGAAAAAACATGTAGTAATTTGTTTTTTTTTGCAAATTAAACAAAATCCATTAGCATATTTAAAGGATTATTAGTATGTTAGGAACACAGATTTCCTGGATTCTTTAAGATACATTCAACCATGACTTGGAACAAGCTTGTTGTGCTTATGAAATGTAAATTTAATGACACAGACAAAAGCAACCTTGTGAAAAATGTTGTTGATGCAAACAAGTGTTCCAAGATTGGTTGAGCTCGATTATGAGAAAACATGTTCGATTTCTTGGTCGTTTAGTCACTCGCGACCAATCTTCAATTATTTCAATTAATCGGACCACCACTAGTTCACATGTTAATAACAATGGCAAATAATACATTTTCAATCGATATAACTGGTGTACTTAAAAAAGTACAAATTTAATCGTTTGGAAGTAATGGGGTACAACATGTCGTAGCAGTAGGTATACACTATGGATAATGGACCGGTGGACATAACATGGTAAAGGCGGCCAGCAGATCTTGGTAGACTGTTATCATGGTTATTATTTCGTCGAAACTTCGTTTCCAAGACAATAACACGTTTACCACAAGATTTCCCTGGTTTACGTAGTCCAGCATATAACTAGACGACTTTGGACTATACCAAGGTGTGCTCGATCGATGTAGGCCTTGGCTGGAATACGAGTCTATTCATATGAACTATGTTTTACGGTGTTATAAACATGTACTGCAAAGCGTGGCATGCAGTCCAGTCCCTGATAGTGCCGCTCTTTCACAACAGTTAGCTTCAACTACTATTCTTCAGTCTTGACAGACAGATACAGAACTACCGTAACAGTAAATATTCGATCCGTCCGTCTAACACTCCGAACACAAACAGCTGATGTGGTGACGGTGAAAGGTACCGTATTTATACATAACAGTGTAATAGCTATGAAAACAGTTCAACTCTAGCTCTTAGACTGATCAAGAATAAAAGTTTTAAAAATTTCCAACCTGAATGTTATGAAATAGTACTTCTGCAAACCTGTATTTGATTAATCAGGCAAACTTATTCTCGTTCCCTTCTAACCATCCTCCTCGCCGCCATCTTGAACTAGTCTACTTCCGGGTCACAGATCTATAAATAGCACTGCACGTGGGGGGTTTATTTACAGTCGGGTCGGGTCTGACGGACTGACTGACTGAGTTTGGTTTTACGCCGCTTTTAGCAATATTCCAGCAACATCACGGCGGGGGTCTGACGGAAGCGATGACTGACTTACAATGGTTTTACGCCGCTTTTAGCAATATTCCAGCAATATCACGTCGGGGGACACCAGAAATGGGCTTCACAAATTGTACCCATGTGGGGCATCGAACCCGGGTCTTCAGCGTGGCGAGCGAACTCTTTAACCGCTAGGCCACCCAACCGCTCTCTTGACGGGAGAGAAATTGACAATTTTCTTGCAAGGGAACTGCAGAGCCTGGGAAAAGAGGAGGCTGGCGGTGGGGGAGATTCCTGTCTAATATTCGAACATGACCAAGTCTTCGACCCAAGCTGATTTTCTTCGGGGAAAGACCGCCTCCGTGGTGTAGTGGTTAGAGCGTCCGCCCGGAGAGCGGAAGGTCGCGAGTTCGATTCCGGACCGCGTCATACCAAAAGACGTTAAAATATGGTACTTGTTGGTCCCTGTCTGGCGCTCGGCATAATGGGTACAACAAGGACTGTTCGGCTCGGAGTCAGTATAATGTGTCTGAGTGGGGTATTCATGCTTCACTGCGGCATGGTATCTCAGTGAGCTAGCACTATAAAACCAGCTTCAGTCTGGGCTAGTACAAGCAGCCGCACATACACATACACACGCATACACGTCTATTCTCAAGCACGACGTTAAACCCAATTTCACCTCACCTTCTTTGGGGAAAGGTAGATATATGATGAAAATTGAGATTTGTCTATAAAAATTGTTCGACGTATCTTTTCCGTTGTATATGATAATATGACTTGTCCATGCAGGGAGACTATATAAGTTGTAGAGTATCCCTGGTCCATGGCAATCGGTAAATAATGTATTTAGATGTATCCAGTGGAATACCAAGTTATTAGTCAGCGTTCAGAATAGCTGAGTGAACATCACATGGCAAGGAGGGATGGGAACTCGCTCTCAGTATAGTGATACACCAAATAATAACTTTAATCTCATAATTCATGCACTGAAAAGCATTTATCAAATTTCTGAATTTTAAAGCATATGCAATGACCCGAAAATGATGTTTGAGACTGGTTGTTGTTGTGATCCGGATCTTATTGCGAATCAACAGCTTAATATCCGGAAGATCCTTCTAGTAATTTCAGCAGCACAAACACACGCACGCATGCGCGCACACACGCACACATGCGCGCACACACGCACACACAGGCACACAGATAGAAAGAGGGGGGAAACAAAAGGGATATACAGATGGATATATATATATAAAACGTACTCTATTGGATTAAGGTCAGGGGACCTCGATGGCCAGTCCATGACGTTGATTCCAGCGTTTTGAAGGAAATTTCGTGTCAACATCGCGGTATGCGGCCGAGCATTATCATGCTGGAACTGTAGACCTGGGCCATGAGCCGCCATGAAAGGAACGAGTTCAGGGGTGAGCACTTGGTCACGGTAAGCAGCAGCTGTGAGGTTTCCACGGATGACCAGAAGTCGGGAACGGTTGTTCCCACAGGAAGCACCCCACACCATGCAACTTCCGCCCCCGAATCTGTCGACTTCCTGTACACAACATTGGGCATACCGTTCACGACGTCGTCTCCAGACTCTATGCCTGCCGTCCGCGAATCTGAGGGTAAACCTGGATTCGTCGCTAAAGACGAGTCGATTCCAGTCTCTCTGGGTCCATCGGAGGTGACGTTGGGCCCACAGCAGACTTTGACGTTGATGAAACGGCGTCAATATTGGCCCACGATATGGACGTCGAGAATGGAGATTGGCAGCCCGCAACCGATTTCGAATGGTCTGTGAGGGCAGTCGACCTCTAAACATCTCAGCCCTGGTTCGTGTTGCCGGCAGAAATCTGTCACGCAGGTGACGTAGGACGATTTGACGGTCTTCTGCTCGTGAAGTCACACGTGGACGACCCGACCTTGGGCGATCAGAAGTGGTGCCAGTTTGTTGTAGACGACCTCGCAAGTCATACACAGTACGACGGCGGCATCCCATTGCTCTTGCGACGTCAATAACTGATCTTCCCGCTTGCAACATGCCAACCGCACGTTCACGTTGCACATTTGACAATCATGGCATTTCAAGTACCGTTAGAACTGTGGTTTAAAAGAGTTTTTTAAATTCTTGAGGCCAATGCAAACACGTGCATATGAAGAAACCTTCGATGCGAAGATCACGTGATCGACTGCACGTGCAAAACCTGATTTGGCACTAACGTCATTTGCAGGACGAATGGATGGGATTAGTGGGTTATATATATATACATACATACATATATACATATATATATATATATATATATATATATATATATATATATATATATACATACATACATACATACATACATCACATATATATACGCAAAGGATGTAGCCAGTTTGATATATAAATATGTAGTGTCAAAAACCTTACTGTCGTAGTTGTGGAAGCATATATATGTAACAATGTAAAACATTGTGAAGAGCGCGCCGAAAAGCTTGCGTAAGGCCAGTCTCTTCTTATTATGAATAAGCGCGTTTGTTTACAAACAAGAGAAAAGTCCGGTCACGTGATATGCAAATTAGCCTGTGGCAGTGATGTTATGCTAAGTCATCACTGCGCCGGAGTGTGATTTGCGGGCCGCTGCAAATGATTTTTATTACAATACTTACTCCTAATATCATGAGTCCTTTTCAATTTGCCCATACTAGCCAAACTTACAAAATACACGAAATTTGTTACCGCGAACCGGGAAACATAAAGATTTTCCCAGCCATATGGTTCTAGCGCTGCGCTCGAGGCAACACACCACTCGTCCGTGGCGGGTGACGTCACGCGTTAGATGACGTCACGATATCTCTAAAAACTAGCGCTAACCACGCAACTTCCTCTTTTCAATTTTGGCTACTACGGAGCACACCCCTGGTATTGTACCCCTAGCAGCCCAGTTTGCTCTATTTGTCTTAGACTAAAAATATCACGTACTTCTGTGAAATGTTTGGGTATGGAAGCTCGGGGGTGCGGGATTAATCTGAAGGCAGATGATCCTCACCCCTTATGTTTAGCATGCCGACACTGCTCTTGGTCGTCGACTTGTGCTGTGTGCAAGGATCGGACACCGGAGCAGTGGACCCAGTTGGAGAGGCGCGTTTGGAAGGCGACGCGGAAACGGGACCTTCGTTCCCAGCGACTTTCCGAACGCCGTCTCTCCAACGGGTGCTCTTCTTCGTCGGCGACGGACCACCGGTCCTTCTCCGACGTGGTGGCGGTTGTAGGGGCCCTCAGGGCCACCTCCCCGCTGCCCGGGACCTCCGGATTCGTCCCGGACGTCACTGACGTCCCCGACTTACCCGTGACCGACCTTACCCTTGGGGCTGAGGACGGCCCGAGTTCCCGGGTGCCGGTTTCGACAGACCCCCTGGGCCTTGAGTCGAGGGCCCAGATAGATACGGAACGTCCCTACGGGACCAACGGGAATGGGGTCGGTTTATCCCAACGGGACACCGAGCCTTTTGTCTCGTGGGCCTTCTGTCCTCTCTACTCGGTCCCCCTACTCAAGGTGGACAGCAGTATGTGTCGCCCCCCGCTCTGCTCTGCGGACATGAGAAATTCATATTTGGTATTCATTTTGAATAGTCACCAGGGGAGAAGCGGACGGGTTGTTGTGCTAGTTGTGGCGTAGGTCAAGGCCAATGCCCTAGTGATAAAAACGTCCTCTCGTCACTCCGAAAACCCGGGTTCGATTCCCCACATGTGTACAAAGTGTGATGCACAATTCTGGTGTCGACCGTCATGATATTGCTGGAATATTGCTGGAATATTGCTAAAAGCGGCATAAAACCCTATTCACTCACTCCCTCACTTGTTGGCACAAAAATAAATAAAACGTCTGCTAACAAAAGTACTAGTGTTGGTTCTACTTTTTCTGGTTTGCTGAAAAGGACACCTTGTTGATAGCTGATTCTGATAGTTTGAGGAAGTTAAGCTGCTAGAGGATTTAAAGCAGTGTGTGTCAGAATATTTTGATGAGCAGACAGTATATCCCTTACACCAGCCTGCTACTAGAGCTGATGATTATTTGCTGACGCACAGGGTAGTGTTCCCAATTCTGAGTTTCCAAGCAGGAATTCTTGGGGTTATACAAATCACCCCTCTCCTAGTTTTCTTACTGATTTTTTTGGTCTGAGTTTATTTAACATTAAGTCAAATTCTACTCCAGGGGCCCGATCTACAAAGCGTTCGTAGCGTTACGGCCAATAGTAACTTGCACTTTATCATGGACATACGAATGGCGTAGTGCAGTGAACGCTTTATGAATAAGGTTTGATTGACACATGTCATCGGTTCCCAATTGCGCAGATCGATGCTCATGCTGTTGATCACTGGATTATCTGGTCCAGACTCGATTATTTACAGACCGCCGCCAAATAGCGGGAATATTGCTGAGTGCGGCATAAAACTAAACTCACTCACTCACTCCAACAGAAATCTGGACTTGGTTGACACATGTCATCGTATCCCGGTATGATGTTGATCACTGGATTGTCTGGTCCAGACTCGATTATTTACAGACCGCCGCCATATAGCTGGAATATTGCTGAGTGCGGCGTTAAACTAAACTCACTCGCTCACTACTGAAAAAGGTTCCAGTTGGGTTTAACGATACTTCAGGATATTTGTTCGTGAGATACTTAGACATGTAAGTCAATGCATATCATTTACGAGTGTGAAAGGCTCGCTCTAAAAAAATGAAACCCCCAAAAGCAACAACATTTGTGTGGTTCAGCTAATTAGGAGTGAACTTTTGTCGGACAGTCAAACCCGTGAAGATCGGGTTAGAATTGATCTTCAGCAACCCAAGCTTGTCGTAAGAGGCGACTAACGGGATCGGGTGG